AAAAATTGTAATAAAATTAGTATGTATATTTAATAAGTCAATTATTTAAAAAAGATTTTAACCTACGTGATCTTGAATGTATTTTTTCACACTATCATAGTGCTTATCACTTATTCCATTAATTTTATTAAAAGCTGTTTGGTATGTAGTACATAATCCCATATTAGCCATTGTATTAATACAATAAGCCGAGGCTCTAGATTTTGTAAAAAATAATCCCAGTGCAGCTTTGACACCGCTTACTTGCTTGTTTCGCAATTCGGCCATTTCATAGCACAATACCATAATTTTTTCTTTTAAACTTTTTCGTGTTTTCAAAGCTTTGTCTTTAGAATTCATTGCATTATATAAAATATTAAAAAATCCTTGGATCTCGGGATCTTTACGTTCAATTAAATTGATAAAATCATCAGCGTTTAATTTTAGTAAGTTTCCTTCTCTTTGATCTTGATAAAGAACTTTTGTCATTCGTGCTATCTAATCATTGAAATATTCTGAAAATTGTTCTATAATAATTAATATTAAATATTAAAAAAAAAAAAATTATCAGTTTAATATTTAAAATAAAATAAAATTGTATTACCTCTATTGATATCTTGAATATTGCTATTTCTAAATTCATCTATTTCAAAATGTTCCAGATTTGAGATCTTATTCATTAAATGTTTATAAATTTCTTGTAATAAATTGATTTCATCATTGAAAATATTTATGTCCTTATTAGCATTAAATCGTTCAACTACATTACTACCTTCCGCAGATTTCAAATACCATTCAGATGCCTTTAGTTTATCTTTAGAAGTATCTATGCCCTCATCATAGCAAAATCCAACATTCAATTGTCCATTAAGATTTTCACTTTTGGCAGAACTCAAATACCACTCAAAAGCTTTCTTTTCATCTTTAGGAACTCCAACACTATTTCGATAACAGTTTCCAACATTTAATTGCCCTTTTGAATTTCCACCATTAGCAGATTTCAAGTACTATTCGAATGCTTTCTCTTCGTTTTTAGTTGTTCCTATGCCATTTTGGTAATAGTACCCAATATTCAATTGCCCATTGAGATTTCCACTATCAGCAGATTTTAGATACCATTCAAATGCTTTCATTACATCTTTGACTACGCCTATGCCAACCTAATAGTAATTCCCAATGCTCAATTGTCCATCAATATTTCCATTTCTAGCGGATTTTAAGCACCATTCAAATGCCTTCTTTTCATCTTTAGGTATGTCTATGCCATTTCAGTAGCAATCACCAACATTCAATTGCCCATCAGAATTTCCAAATTCAGCAGATTTTAAATACCATTCGAATACCTTCTTTTCATCTTTGGGTATGCCTATCCCATTTCAGTAGCAATTTGTGATTTTCAATTGTCCATGGGAATTTCCACCTTTAGCAGATTTCAAGTACCATTCGAATGCTTTGTTCTCATTCTTTGGAATGTCTATGCCATTCATGTAACAATCTCCGATATTGTATTGTTCATGAGAATTTTCGTTCTCCATATTCTTTTTATTATTGTAAGTTGAATTATACTTTCGTCTTTTATTTGGCTTTAAGTTTCTATCAAATACAA